ATACCACACTGCTGCCACATAATAGGAAAATAATCATTAAATATATCCCAGAGATGGGTTTAGACATAATTCTGCTTTGCTTGGGGACAGTGGAGGAATCAAAGAGCCAAAATGCAAGAAGTAGGAAATATATCAGATTGAACACTTTGCTTTTGTGTCACAGGAAAAGATAAAAATAAAAAGCTGTAGATGAAAGTAAAAATATTATGCCCCCTTTTTTTTCTCATACGAATCTCCTTAAGAATGGAAAAATATAACTCAAGGCCATTAGTTAACAGTAGGAAACTGAAAGAAAATCCAGTCATTACATGGGCCAACGGTAGTATGAGATAACTAATTTTCATTGGCTGCTTTTCTGGGCAAATCTATCCTGCAGTTTCAAACACAGGAGCGTGAGCATACACTTCTGGGGGAAAAAAAAGACTTTACTGTCATTCAGATGTTCTTATCTTCAAGTTTTATAGCACTGTCATACAAATACAGGTCAAGAAAAGCTGTACTAGTGTATTGAACACATATGCATAACTTGCTTTTCAGATCCCTTTAACTTGTTTATCATTGTCTGTTAAATGTCTTTATAAGTGGGAGTATGAGAAATAGGTTGGAGATAGGAAAGGAGAAACCTTATTTCCAGCAGTTCAGCTTAGGAATGGCAAATGACATCATCGTTACTGTAGTTCTTTCTGTCTTTGTCAACAGGATTAAACTACATTCTTTATTGTATTTTATCTTCTTTCCATCATGGTTTTTTCCTGTGTGTTTCACAGCAGAGAGTGCTAGTGATGCTGTTTCCTGGGAGACATCTGAAGTTATTAGTTTGGACATTAAACACCATATTTAACTGTTTGCGATTAAAACCAGGTGTAAGTGAAGCTATGTATAAATAAAATGTTCCTCTGGTAATACAGACAAAAATATCTGTGCTACAGTCAATATCATTCAGCTAAATTGATTTAGTTTGTATTAAACATCATATTGCTGTGGATACTTATCAACAAATATTTTGAGACAATGTTTTCATTGTGAGCATTAACAAAATGAGTCGTATGGGTAAACTCTGAGCCAAGATTTCTGACAGTCAAGTTGGAAGAATTCTGTGACTTGGCTAGGATTTTTTTTCTGAAATCTTTTGCTTCAGAAAATGCAGTTTGTTCAAACACACAATTTTGTCACGAGAAATTATATATGTGTGGGTTGGTTTTTTTTTAAGAGGACAATAGTTTGTTTGACTTACTCTGAAATATAAGATAATTGTATTTGTGCACATGCAGGCATAAAGTCATAGTGTGCTGCAAGCTGGAAAACAGACCATTTTGATTAACTCAGTCTGAAATATTTTTATAACTTTCAGTTAATAAAACATTCAGGATTGCTATTATTTCCTCTTATAAACGATCAGTGTTCTTTTAGGATAGGAAAATGCTTGTATACATAGGCTTTATATGAAATTATAGAATTCATTTGGTGCTTGGTGCTATGCCATATTTACTGGTATGTATTAGCTAATTATTTTAATCAGTTAGTCAATGAGATTTCATAATTGTTGCTATGTACACATTTTAAGCTAATGACTACTAAAATTACATAAAGCACTGTTATTATATGAAGAACTTGGAAATAAGTGGCAGATCTGATGGGTATCTACCACAGTCATTGCATCCCAGTTGTCTGGAGGCTGGTTTACAGGTATTATTTTGAACATATAATGCTCCTCGTTCAAAGAACAGGTCTGCATATATATATGTGTGTGTGTGTATAAAAAATGTACCAAGTATATTAGTGTAACTCAATAACCTATGGTTTGTTTTTTTTTTTTTTAAGTCTATGTTGGTTTTGTCTGTATATAACTCATATGTCAGGCAGTTTTGGCAATACTCTACTAAAAATCTTAGGCAATCATATTTGAATGGCCCATACAGAAGTGCCACCTTCTGCTTTTAACTGTGCAGTGAAACTGATTATTTAAATAAGTGATTTTTATATTTTCTGTGTAAATACACTGTAAAAAAGACATTTCAAAGGTCAGCTAAGCCCAACAGCCATATAAATTATTTTAATCTCTACGAAGAACCCTCACAAAACTTTCAGCTTCCAAGGAACCACCAGCAAAAGTATATTCTATAAGTATAAACTTAGTCCTTTGAAGCTTTCCTCATATAGACAGTTCTGTTAAAGTAAATAAAACCTTCAGATGATGCAGGTTGTGTGGGACCAGGACTCAAGAAAGCAGTGTTTTGGGATGCTCAAAGGAACAAATATATATGGGGGGGTGAAAAACGTTCTAAAGCCAGAGGCAGACTCACATCGATCTAGAATCTGTGCTATAAAGTGACACTGATGATCAGCAGGCTCAAAAGCTAAAAAAGTCCTCCTGTATTTATATAGTACTGTAATGTGTTTTAGCTTCATAACAACATGAGGCATAAACTAATGAGTGCATTGACTCATAAGTCTGAAATCTGAGACTATGTTATAACTTTGTTACAATTTGAGATTAGATGTTACAAAATAGTCCTTCAGCGGTAGACAGTTGCAGCTGTGAGTTTTCATTCCCTTTGAAAAATACGTGCAGGTGGTGGGTGCTTAGAAATTAAGGTATAAAGCAGACTAAAAAATACAGTGTTTGAGAAATTCTCCAGTCATCCTGTGGGAAACTGGCAGCACAATTAGGATTTTTGAGATGTAAGTTTTCAAAGTCTAGGGAAGCATCATAACAAGACAGTCATCTCTCTTCTTTCCTCTGTTCTAGGGAATTTTGTTTTTTCCCTTCCTGTACAATATAACAGTCCCATTTTGTCACTGCGGTCGGTAGCACTCCCTGTTTGTTACACACTACGGGACTTGGCTCTATTATTTATCTATGGCAGATAACAATCTAGGCCATGTCTGTACAAGAAAATGTTGAACAGGTTTCAAAAGAATGATTATAAGCCAGATGCAGTTAAAACAGTTTGCCACCTCCTTAAGTTGTTTTGTAATTTACAAAATTCAGCTCAACTGATTGAAGAGATGATAAAGTCAATTTAAGTCACCCAGTTTAGGGAGCAGCACCTGCAACTTTTCCCTCTAGACATGGTCTTGCCTGGTAAGTAGGAGGATCAATGGCAGGTTAATGCAATTGGCAATGTAAGAAGCTGGGAAAAAAAAAAACCAAACCAGACCTGTTATTATTTGTGTGGGCTATTTTGTAAACTATTCAGGCAGGGATTTTTTTTCAGATATCTCTCAAGTGACAGCCAACACTCTACTAAAATTAATCCTAATAATATAGATAATGATGTGCTAAATTGTTTTCAATATAGTTATTCCAATTTTACAGGAGTGTAGTATTGAACTGAATTCACTCCATTAAGACAAATACAGCAAACTATAGCAGAGGGTTACTTCAAGCCTTGATGTGTATGTGTTCAATCTGGTGGGAACCACATGCTTGTAACTAAAAGAGAGATAAAAAGAAATAGAGTCAGAAAGATGAAAATATATTGCTTTTGTTTAAATTTACAGTTCACATAGTACTTGTTTTCCTTGGCATATATTATTTGCTATATAATCTAATAGATAAATAAAGGCACTGATTGTTTGAAGCATGCTGAGTGACGACCTGAACCAGCAAGTATGCCTTGATGGAAAACTCTTACTTAGAGAAACAGAACTCTTATTCATCAGTGTAGGATCAGCTTATTTGTTGTGGCTGAAGGGTTTGATTCTTCTCTGTCTTACATGATACAGGGAAAATCAGATCCACACAAAGCATTGCAGTGATTTGTTTATTGACTGTATTTTGATTTTTATATGCTGGCCCATTGACATTTTTAATGCAATACATTAAAATAACAGGGAGGAAAAAGTGATACAAAATGATTTTTCCTCAGCTATTTCCTCTGTGTTTCCTGTCCCACAGTCCCCAGAAAAGGAGGGATGGCTGTAGAGAACGTGTACTGCCACAGCACTATCAAGAATTTATTCTCTTGATAGTAAGAGGCAGAGCAGCAAGTACAGTATTAGTTTCTGCTGTATTGCTGAATAAACTCTAGGAAGTGGTTTGCAGTGAGGAATACATATCCTCCTGAAACGTATTTCCCCTCACAGCATGTGCTTCTGCTTTCAGCAAGAGTGAGTAATGCTATATTAGCAATAAAGGGGAAAGATGAGCCAGATTTTTAAAGGTGCTTAGGCAGCTGAAGAGGTAGGTAGATGACTAATAGGATTTAGGATCCAAGCCTGGGAAACCTAAGTATCTTTAAAAGTCTCACATGAAGTTATTACAGAAAACCTTCAACTTCCATGTCTGCCCAAACAGTGATAACCTACCAACAGGCCATTAATTTAATTAGTAAATCCTTGTGTCCTGGAAAGACTAGTTTGACAGCCTTTTCTGATAAATCCAAAGGTATTTCTGGTTTCCACACAAATTACTCTGTATTTTATGGACAAAAAAAATATTGCTATGAGGATGTGGATCTCTCCTGTAAATAGCATGGGGTTTTTTTTCTGCAGGTGTTGCTTTAGCAGTGACATACGTCTCTTAAAAAGGTAAGTTATGCTTTATGCTGTGAATTAACGGGCTGCTTAGCAGGTGGAAAGCTGGTCCAGATAATCCTCCAAGTCGTCTAGCTCTTTGTGGGAAATGAAATCCAAGCCCTAATTCCTCTGTCGGTGTCACAGATCAGTGATTTCTGTCCCTTCTTCCCAGGGCCTACTCCACCACTGTCACGGCCCAGCGTTCGGTCCCAGCCCAGTGCTGAGAAGGGCAGAGAAGCTGGTGAAGGGTCTGGAGCACAAGTCTTACGAGGAGCTGCTGAAGGAGCCTGGAGGAGAGGAGGCTCAGGGGGGCTCTTATCACTCTCTACAATTCCCTGGAAGGAGGCTGTGCCCAGATGGGGGTTGGCCTCTTCTCCCAGGCAACCACCGACAGGACAAGAGGACATGGCCTCAAGCTGCAGCAGGAGAGGTTTACGTGGAGGAATTTCTTCACGTAAAGGGTGATTGGGCATTGGAATGGGCTGCCCAGGGAGGTGGTGGAGTCACTGTCCCTGGAGGTGTTTAAGAAAGACTGGACGTGTCATTAACTGCCATGGTCCAGTTGACATGCTGGTGTTTGGTCACAGGCTGGACTGGATGGTCTCAGAGGTCTCTTCCAGCCCAAGTGACCCTGTGATGCTGTGAGGCGCGGCGGTCGGTTGTGCGCCGCTTTGGACTGGCGTTCTAGGCAGGATGTCACAGCGGGGCCCGGAGCGGCTGCCAGACAGGGACCCCTGGGGCCTGGACACACAGACCCTCTCCCCACGCTCTCGCCTGTCGGCCCCGCGTTGGAGGCCCCGGTCCTGCCCGGGGCCGGCGCTGCGCCCCCCGCGCGGCCGCAGGAGGCGGCGGGAGCCCGGCGCTGGCGCTGCCACCGCCCCCGGCCCGGCCGCGCTTCCGCCCGCGTCAGCTGACTGCTGCAGGGAGCGGCGCGCCCGCTCCGGCCCCGAGCCCGCGGAGCCCCGGCCACCCCGCAGCCATGGCAGGGGTCGTGGTGAGCGGAGCCCAAGTAAGTGTCCGCAGCTGGTGCGGCGGCGGCCCCACCTGCCGGGGCAGCCCGCCCCGCCCGGCGCGTCCCCGCCCCCGGCACTGGGGGCGGCTGCTCCAACTCCGCGCCGTTTCCCGGCGCTCTGCGGTCCCGCGGGGACGGGGATGGGGGGGGGTCGGTCTCGCAAGGGCAGAGGCGGGTTGGTTTCTAAGCTCTCGTAGCACCGCGCCAGGGACCCCCGCAGGTATCGCCCCTTCGCAGCCGCGCTGGCCCGAGGCCGCCGAAGGGAAGGGGCCGAGAAGCCGCCCCTGCCCCCGCCAGCGCCGAGTGGCCCCGGGGTTGTGCTCAGAGCCCCACGGGCTGGGGGGGATGTGCCCCGGCGGTGCTTTCTCAGAGCTGGGAGATAGCGAAGCGCTGCCGTGTCGGTGACGGGGCAGTGCTGCTTTGCCACTTTTGCTGCCGCCGTGCAACAGGCGCATTCCTGGGCTGTGCTGAGGCAGCAGCGCGGCTCTGACCGCCGTTCGCTCCCCTACGAGGTGTGCGGTGCAGCCGGAGCGGGGCCCGGCGGGCCGGGCGCGTCGTGCTCCGGGGTGAGCCCCGCGTGCTCTCTCGGGCCTGGAATGGGCTGCGGGAAAAAGCTGAAGGGGAAGGACTGAGGTCTGCTAAGTGTTGTTCCTCCTGAGAGTAAGCACCATGTACGTTTCGTTTCGGTTAGAGAGAAGTTGGAAATTAAAACACATCCTACTGGCCTATACCCAGTGGCTTACATGGCTACTGAAAAATTTTCTGGTTAAAAATTGGTGACATTACTGCTGAACCTTTGGCTAGTATTAGGAGATTATTTATTCTCACTGCCCCCCCCCCCCCCCGAATAAGTGAAGCTTGTCTTCTTTTTGAAAATGGCTTACCATTAAGCCAAGGTGCAGCCCATCTAGTTGCTTCTTTAATCTGGTCACTATTCTGTATGGAATTCATGTAAATATGTGTGTGCTATGAAGGTAATTGGCTAATTTTGCTGATGCTGCAGGAAACGGTTCCTGTGGTCTCTGTGGTGCACTGTGGCACTGAGTAGTGCTCTGCTTTCTTCCCTTGGGCATGCCTTTAGCCCCTTAATTTGGCTATGTGCCTACCATACAATCTTCTAGCAGCATAGAGTAAAATATAATGCTCAGCTGACTGGAAATTTTCTCCACATGTAATTCCCCTCAGTAGCAGAGAATATGCAGTATTGAGAGTTCATACATGACTTTTTGCTGACATTCCTTGAAGAGGTTACTCAATGAGTGTCATTGTAAAATGATCTCAGAGATTAAATGGTAATATCCTCTGAAAGTAGAGCAGAAGAGAGGTGCAACTGCTGTTGACTGGTTAACTTATGTTCTAAATATTTTGTAAAAACTTATTTTTTTCCTGACTTGCATACAGTGTGTTGAAGAGTCTGCAAGAGTATCTGAGACGTCCATAGCCTATCTGATACTGGGCTTTGTGGGAAACTTTCTGGACATTTCAGTGGGATATTGAACAGGGCACCAGTAATAAGAATGATTGACTGTGACCAACCTGTACTATATTTGAGTTGGAGAATTAGGCAATGGAGACCTCTGCATCCAGTTTCTAATCCTATGTGATGTTCTGTGACCGGTATAGAAAAACCTAAGAAATCTGCTGTTGCTGATGTGCCGTGCAACCAAAGAGCTGGAGTCGTGGGAGAAGTTTGCTTGCTCTCATCTCTGTAATGACGTATCTGGATATGTACTTGAAAGCTCATCCTCATTTTGAGGGTATTTGAGATGGATGCAAAAGGAAGAATACTGAATTATGTACGTTTTGTTGTTTCCCGAGTAAATGATTTTGAACTGAAAGAACAAAAATGAAGAAATGTTCTTTTCTTGTCCATACTACTAAAGTCTTGTTTTATATCAACACTGTTCAAATACTAAAAAGTGGGGAAAACTTGTTCAAAAAGGTTTATCACATATTTCATTGCTGGCAGTTGCTGCTGTTCTTACCGTAAAGAGGGCTGTTGGGTATCTGAAGCAAATTCATGTATGTGGGCTATAGAAATATAAAGTCAAATGCCCTTTGTGTATTTTCTGGAAAAATAAAGATAGTTGTTTTAAATTGAAAAATGTGTTTGTACTGTGAATGTGCTGAACTGAACTCTATGGAAGTAAAATCCCTTTTAAAAAGCCTGAGTGTTAAAAGGTCATGATAACCATATGTCATCTGCAGATATGCCTGTGAATAATCTGTTTTTACCAGTTATGTAAATGTATATGTATATTATAACAGTTCCAAGGCTGGAGCTTTGCAACATTTTATGTATTTTGCCTCTTCTGTGCTCCAAAACACATTTGTTTGAACCTTTTTCTTCAGCTTCTGTCCTTGTGGAGGTAGAGATTTTATGGCCAGGTAAGTTTCTGAAGCAGTGGGAATGCAGTCCGGAGTTCCTGGCTCCTTCTCCACCACTCTTCCCTGGGTCAGAAGCAAAGTTGTCTGTGCTCCTGCTATGTTTGTAGTTGCTTAAGGTGGTCTTGCACTCCTAGTGTTAGTAGGCATCATATTTTAGTCATTTCTTTTTCAACATGTTACATTGAACCAAATGCTTAATCCGAAGAATTATTCTGCTGTTAACATGATGACTTTTGAAGGGTTTGCAAGCATTAATTTAAAGAAATCTACCATTCAGTGAAGAATGAAACAATTCTTTTATGCATACCTTTGTGTGTGCTGTAAAATGCATTGAAATTTATCTTATGTATTGAAATTTATCCAGTCTACATCTTGAATGTAGACTGGAGGAAAAACCCCACATATTTAATTCAATAAATTCTGGAAAACATTTTCTGTTATAACCAAACCAATAAGATGCCAATTACCCCAAACAGTTCCTTTCCCTTTTGTCCTTATATTTGCTAAAGTCATGTGTATGTCTGCTAGGAGAATATATTGCAAGACAAGGTATGATTTAACAAGGGGAAGAAGTTGTTAAACTGAGCTTCAAGCTACCTGTTTTCTGCTCGTAAAAATTATTTCATTGTTGTCAGCTTTATCTGTTGAAGTTATTGAACAAAATTAATTAAATGGGATGCCATACAGTGTTATCAGATTGCAATAATTTTTAGAGTGTAAGAGACCAGGATGACTTGCCAAAGTGCATACTGTCAGTCTGTTCTGCAGAGGAGTTCCTATTTTAACAGAAGGTGAAATACTATGAAAACAAAATCTGATGGACTCTTTTTTGCGTACTTTTCATCTAACATGTTTTAGACCAGTGGAATATGGTATTTAAATTGACTTTATATTAAATATGGAGATACTAACAATATCATATAGGTAGTGGTCTAATACAGTGGTGAAGTTCACTTAAGTAGTAAGTTACCAGTAAGGGCAACCAAGATTTCTGTAGCACAAAATCTGAAATGTCAGTGTTTTCAACACTGAGACGATGAGCCAATATAGGTGTATAGAGTTCTTGACAATAGGTTTGACAGGCTTTGTGGGGTTTCTTTGAAGAAATCAAACCAATGACTTCTAAAGCAGTACAGCAGAAAGAACAGAAAAATTCAGGTGTTTTGTTGTTTATGTTTTTTCTGGAAATATTGTCACTCAATCCTGGCTAAAAAAAGTAAATAAACCCCAACCAAACAAAAAAATCTGAGTAGACTGGTTTTTTTGTTACCACTAATTCTTCCTATGTTTGCTAAAGGTTGGTTAGATGGCCTGGTATGAAAAAGAGAAAAGACATTTAGGAGTATTTTGGGTGTAATGAGAAATGTGATCTGAACATAGGTGTTGAAGGCAGAAATCTTTGAAAGTTACATGACTGTCTGAAAAAAAGCTGCATGCTTTGTTTTTCAGATCGTGGGCAGCCCTCTTGCTCTGTCCCTGGTATGTTACTGGGAATAATAATCTTCTCAGGGAATGGTTATGAGAGTGGATTGACAATACACTGCTTAGGTATTTCTGCACCAAACTTTACAAAACAGTCTTTTAGTGTGTTGTATATGGAGAGCCAAACTGGAATGTCCTTTGGATGGCTTCTGATCCTTCCAACAAATTCCTTCTGGAGTGTATCAGAATGGTAATAGAAAGAAATGTTAGATCAAAATATTAACAGTGAAATTGAAGAAAGGTGATTTTTATAATCAAATTATTTTTACCTGAAAGGAGACAAAGCATTGTACATAAGACTGTAGATGTAATAAATATTAAGTTGAAGGTATCAATGGGAAAATGAGATTGTGATAGATTTTATAGCAGTAAAACTTAGGTAGCTTAAAGCTGTAATGAATATTCGTGGTATTGCATGTTGTGATTGTATCAATGAGACAGAATTCCACTTATGAAATGTTTCCTTTCTGCTTCTAATTCTCAGGTGTCCTACATTAGTCAAGACTGTGAAGAAATTCCAGAATTCCTAGGACGAAAATATGGACATATGGCAAAAAGGCTAGATCTTAGCTTCAACTTGTTAAGGTATGTGGCAATATATAGATTTTCAAGTGCAATATGGGATGCCAACTCCTAAAATAGAATACCTTTTTTTTCAAAGTAGAAACATATATGTATGTCAAGTAGATTTAGTTGTTATCAAGTGGAAAACACTGTTTTATGGGTAATGTTTGTCTCCTTTTCTTGCACACTTGGAACACAAATAGCCAGGTGAGTGTGAAAATTAATTGTGTTCACATAAGTGATGCCCAATGAGGAGCCTGTGGTTTGTTCTCTGCTCAAAATGGAAAATAAGCATTATTACCTGAAGAACTGAAGAATGGGATCAAAAGTGAATTTTTCTTAACCAAACTACAAGTAATTGTGTGCTTCTCTCACTCTTTTTTTAATTTATAGATCTCAGGTTATTATCATAAATGTTTTATAATACTGTTTTCCTAGATGGTGTATTTTGTTCTATGATTTTATTTTTGGGCAGCTACGTAGTTAAATGCTAAAGCTAAGTGCAGTTAGAATTTGTAATTCCTTCTAATTATTTAAATATATGGATTGATATAGAATTCTGTTGTATTCCTCTTAGTTTTTACAGTATCGTTTTTCATTTAATCCTTGTGAGAGAGTCAGTTGAGGTTCAGCAGTGTATTTTTCAGGTTGGAAAATCTGCAGGTAAGTAGGGAGAAAGGATTGGAGTGTAATCTTCTGTTTAAGAAAAAAACAGTTTTTTGCTGGTAGGGTTGGACTCATTTGAGTTTTCCTTTTATTTTATTGAGGGTAAGCTTAGAATCTGCTTGTGAGGGGTAAGACAGGTAGTGTGCTGGTGCCTTGTTTTCCTAGAGGGAATAAACACTGGTTTTAACTTACTTAACACTCAAAAATGTTATCCTGAGTCACTGTCAACTCTGAAGGACTGATTCCTGCATGCAAGATGTAGCAGAGCAAAGGAGGCACTAAATCTGTGGTTTATTGTCTTATACTTCTGGATGATGACTCTGAACCTGTGGAAACTGTTATCAGAAGAGATAGTTTTGCTTGGGGAGGGGATTGAATGGGCTTTTTTGTCATTTTGTCATGAAGATAGTTCAAGATCTGTATGGGTATTTAGATTTAGCATGTCATCAACAAGACTGCTCCTTTTTTACATTTCTGGAGAAAAAAAAGTGTTTCTTTCATTTAATGCATGATTTGAAGAACAGTTCCTCTGCATTTATTTCATAAAGTAAAATAATAACATTAATTTGGATGTAAAATACCACTTTAAAACTCTGATCATGTTTTCTTGGAGGGCTCAATTGGTGCTATAGTTCTGAAATCTGTGTTTTCATCCCTTCTTTCCTTCTCTGCCTAAAACACTATCACTTAGCCTATTTTTCAGAAGGGATATATAATTTGGTTTTATTGAGGTTTGGGGGAGAACAATCAGCTTGTGATGTAGGATAGCTTACAGTCGTAAATCTGTGAAAGTATTTTAAGACCAGAAATCAGATTTGGGGAAAGAGGAGAAGTGTATTATTTTTTTCACTTTTTTTTTTTCTTTTTTTTAGCTTTGGGAACCTAATATTAAATTAGATGAGAGCTAGCTGTGTAATGGTTTTTTATTTAAGCAGTGATAGATATACTAAGCATATAAAAACTAAGAATGAAGTATTTATGGTATAGTAGCTGTTAAGTCTGGTCTGCACTCATATATAAACCCTGTGCCTGCATATTATAGAGAAAGTCAGATAAGATATAGAATAAGTGTTATAACCTTAAATGAATGTCAATATAGAAGAATGCCTTGGGCAGCTGTTGAAGTGAGTGTAAGCAGTGTCGTCTTCTTTAAACAAGTATTATTGCTTGAAAAATCTGACAGCGCTGTAGTATAGCAATGAGTTTTATGATTTTTATCAGCGAATGCCTAATTTGAAAAGTTTAGTTTAGTATGCTGAGAATCTTAATGTCTACGCTTAATGTTGCTTTTAAAAGGAGTTTGATTTTCTACTGCAACTTATCTGTTGGTAAAAGCAAAAGTTGAATGAAGAAGACCAAAGGTGATAAAAAATGAAAAAATGAAGAGAATACTAGGCTTTGCTGGCACAATATTATTTGCAGTAAATATGTTAATTTTCATTATAATATGATTTATTATTAGATGAGAGTGTGTGTGTTCATTGAAAGGAAAAAGGAAGACCAAATGTTCTTAGTATGGTGTTTTTTTACTCAGATTTCTCTGATTATTTTCTTTCTGATTGTAATATATACATAGAAAAAAAAGGATTAGTTCTTTTGAGCTGACAGTTTAATACAGAGGAAAACGTATATTTTTCACCAGGTTTTTTTCTGACTTCAGAGTTCTTCCCAGGCTAGAGCCCCTTCCTCTTCATAAAACAAAACTTAGGGCTTGTGTAGATGCCATATTCTCTTTGCATCAGATGTGGTAAATCTAATAACAACACTTGATACATATAACTATGAAAATTTGCTTTTAAAAAGAATTTTCTTTCTTGTTTGCCTTTTTCCAAGAACTAGTGTCTCTTCTTGATTACCCTGAGCAGTACATGCATCCAGCTCTTTCTTCTGGCAGCCAAAGAGACTGTTATGTGTTGCAATAGCTATGTGTCTCCCCTTTTCCCTGTGAGGGAAAGGAAAGATGGAGGTGAATAGCAAAAGGGAACTTATGGAGATGTTGGGAAAAAGGAGGAGGAACAGCAATTTGTTGTGTACGAGGCAGTGGAAGAAACTAGTGTTTACTTAAAAGATGCTGACTGTGATCAGCAAGATATGGTGCTACTGGATTGCGTGCTGTTTACATCCCTGAGAGACAGAAACCCTTCAACCCCAGACAACTATAGTCCACTTGTGAATTTTTTCTTCTCATGCCGTTTTCCTTACAGATGTTGTTTAAATGCTTTCTTATATCTTTTGTTTCCTTTTGGGACTAAAGGGGGGTTTTGAAGAAGATGGAGCCAAACTCTTGTCAGATGTACAGCAAAAGAACGAGAGGCAGTTGTCACAGGCTGCTGCAAGGGAATTTCCAACCACGACGGGGAAGGTTGAGTGGAAGAGGTGCCCAGAGAGGCTGTGGAATCTCCATCCTGGGTGCTATTCAAAGTGCAACTGGACAAAGCCCCAAGCAGCCTGATCTAACTTTGAAGTCCCCCTGCTCTATACAGGGAATTGGACTAGAAGACCTCTAGATGCCCCTTTCAACCTAAATACTATTGTTCTGCAACTTTACTGGTGTGGTCATAATGGCCTGAGTTGTAGCAGCTCTTTTGATGTGATGTTGGTGGTGATTTTCAACCATTTTAGAAATGAACGATTTACACTGTATATTTTCAATAAGGCATGTTTCAGGAGCAGACGTGTTTTGCTTTGGGAATCTGCTCCTGAGTGTCTCGTGGCAACTGTATTTGATAACTGTCCCTGATAACAGAGTCCTTTCATAATACGTGGAAAGTATTCCCCAAGTCCCATTTAATGAAGGCATAGACTATGGGAAGAAAAGTCATTGATGGGTTGGTGTTACTGGGAGACTTTGCTGTAAAGGATTCAAGAGGGGATAAATAACTATTGGTCATCGATCATAGAAAGTTAAAGATTTCTTTAAAAAAGAAGGTAAGTAGTAGTCACTGGTGAAGGAAAGAAAGCTATAAGTGAGTAGGAAGAATGTAATGTAGGTAGAGAGTAGAGATTTTGATGAAATACAAAGACTTTTTTTAGATGCATCATGCTGTCTGGTGGGAGGAAAAAAACCCAAACAACCCACAACCTATTCAAAGCTTTTTTTACTTGTCCTAGATAACTTTATTCGTACCAAATTTTTCTTTTCATATTAAAGGCTGAATGCACTGCAGTGCTTGAATAACTTGATATCAGTGGTTTTGTATAAATAGGTGCCATGCTTTTATGAATAACATCTACGGTTCAATTCACAGAGAAGTCCATTTGTAATTTTATCCTCAGTAGTTTTAAACATGTGAGTTGTTCTCCTTTTCCTTACAGAGGTTTCTTCTGGGTCTAAGCTATGAGGTGAGAGTGAATCTTTAATCTTGGCCATGAGGAAGGATTAATCCAATAATTGTGCTCATAGAGATACAAGTATCTCTTCCCTCTCTCTAGGGTGCAGATTATTTCTACTAGGAGCATGAATAATTTGCACAGTATGTGCTTGTGCATAATTTCCACTCTCCGATGAAGAAGGTGTATATATGAAAACATCCCCTTGAACTATAATCCTAATCTGGAATGTTCCTCTGTGACTTTCGTGAGACTGAGCCTTTGTAATATCCTCTCTGTGGACTTGAGATTGTTGTTTCTCTCTTCTGCCTACTGTTTTCTTGCCTGGGGGAATATGCAAGTGGGAGCCTGAAAATGGGCTTCAGTTTTTACAGGGCACGTTCCTCTTTGTGAGTTGAGTATGTGAAAAGAGAGGCTTTTTTTTTTCTTGCCACCTTCCCAGTCTGTGCAGCAATAAGATACGCAGAACAGAAAGATGAACAACAAAAGAGAGAGGGAAATAAAAGCCAAAATTCAAAACAAAGCATGACATTTTTTACAGCCTTTAGACTCATCTTTATAGCATTTTAAAATGTTGAAGAAAATGCACTATTGTTAAAACTTTTTGATGGTTTTATTTATAAGGTAGAAAAATATTTTCACCATAATTGGGTAACTCTTAATCGTAGCAATTGCATATTTATCAGTATGAGGGGCTGTTATTAATGTAGCTGTCATGCACAAACACATTTCTGCATTAAATCCATTTAGTATGTGCATTATTTGGTCTAGAATGTCACCAGGACATCAAAGCCCCCTTAGGCATAAGAGCACAGTGCCCTGCTGTGGCTGCAGAAAGGGCTTGATCAATAAATGTAACATGTTAATGCAGAGCAAATAGAATAAAAGATTTCTTTGACAAGACATGAAAAATCACCTTGTGGCAGCTGGCATGGTGATGCCATTTCAGCGGAGACACTAGCAAAGTTGATCTGACAAGTAAAGAGGAGAGATGATGGTTATAAGGTGCTTTTGTTTCAAACTTC